GCCGTCGGCAAGGAAACCGCTAAGCAAGCACACTAAACAAGGAAAGTCGGGTCGAAACGTTAAGCCAGAGCTCTATTTGACGGCCATTAGCTAGGATCCGGCCTCATCTCCGTGGGGGCTAGACAACGCTATATCCCACTCCAAATTTTGCCAGCGGTGACGATGACTACGGTAGTGGTCTGGCCTAGAGCGCCGCGAGAGATACCCAAAAAAGAACGCGGGTTTTATCAGCGGGGTACTGTCGGAGTTCTCTTGAAGTCTCAAAGCAAACAGATGGTCTCGACCCCAAATACTGCACGGCGCTCTATCATGTATAGGATTATTCTACGTACCTTTTCGTTACATAGTGTAAATAAATGGTAGCTCTCATGCGTTTTATTTGCTGCTTTCTTGTTGAGTCGTTGCGGTTTAATTTTTAAAAAGAGTTTAATTTTAGGATCGCCAAACTGCTAAGATGGCGCGTAGCTTTAAGGAACGATAGGGCAAAGAACAAAAAGAAAGGATGACAAGGTTATATTCCCACTCTGGTTGCATCTGCGGCGTTAGCGGTTGCTGGCGCTAGCTGGCTGGCCACCAGGGGGTTATATTGCGAAAGAGGAGTGGACTAAAGCGAGCAGCTTGTGCAAACGCCCCGGTAAGTGTTTTCTTTCAATATTTATTCGCTGTACCCTGCGCGAACTGCAATTCATAGCGTGTGTGAGGCAGTAGCGTCGCTGGATGAAGCAATGACGCGATCGTTGCCGTTACAAGCCAGAAACAAAAAAGAAAACGTCAGGGAGTTGCTACCACAGAACAGAGATGCCGTTAGGCGCAGGGCCGAACACAACTTGCGTCTCGCTTCTCTTGTGCGGTAGCATGAAGCGAACACTGCGAGGGTAGCCTCCAGCCCAGAGAGAATGTCTCTGCCAGCCATCGAATGTCGTATGTAGCTCTGTCTACTGGCAGCATATGCCTGTCTCGTATTGCCCCATTTTATTACGCCCATCCTTAAAGCTTGTCCATCATGCCCGCATTAGCGGCATTTAAGGCAAACTTAAAAGAGTCCAGAGGCTGGACCGTGCGTCGCCAGCTGTTTATTTCACGCACGTATTCCATAAGCCAGAAACGGTGCCTCATAGCGAAATAGAAGCAGAGGTCAGTCGTAAAAAAGAAAAGGTTTCTCATTGTCGCTTACGGGAACCTAGATTTCGTATTTACCGTTCGATACTGCGTGGACGGCTGTATAGCCCCGGATGCCTGCCTCGATACCTACGTTCCTGCTTTTTGCTGTTAACTACCTGCTCGCTGCCAAAATGCCTTCGTCGTTTCACGGGCCGTATCCGGTCTTTTGCATTTTTCCGTTCCAACTTCACAGCCAAAAACCTCAGAGCAGTCTAGCATATCTGGCACAGCCGGTGTCCGACATTGTCGTCGGGCGATATTGACGTCCGGCAGACATTGGCATCACGAATTCGATGTCTCGGCAAAGTTGGCCGGGTAGGTGCCGCCGACCCTTACGTAACGGCGAATCTGGCTTGTACTACAGCGGCGTGTGGTTGGGTTGGGCTATGTGAGCTCGCTCTGGGGAGGCATGACTGCCTATAACGGAGATTTCCAAAAATGGCAAAGTCTTTTCTGTCAGCCTTTGTATATGTGTAGGGGGCGAGGTTTTATGTAAGCATGCCTATCAATGCCTGAAGTATGTCATGTTTTTTTGAATTGTTAGACGGGCTCAGAGAGTCGTAAATGAAACCGGCGGATAGATAAATTTTACATTATTTACACATACAAATACAGAAAAAAAAAACTCGTTTGCTGAATAATGCCCATTTATGATGTTATTCATAGGTAGTTTTCCGTTTTAATAAATGAATACATTTTAATAACATGAGGTGTGTAATGGAGACAATTCAAACCTTGCCCTAAACCCTCTTGGCCGTGTAGTCAGGCTATTTTTACGTTTAACGAATCTATCAATGTTTCAGGTAATTTTTGGTTGATCAATTTTAACTCATTGCGTTGCAACAAACTCAGATAGAACTCGAGCCATTAATTTTATAAAAATGATTATGAGGAACGAGACTAAAGATGAGCTTTTAACTCGACAGTCCAACAGATGACTGATTGAAATTCAGCTAATCGTCACTTTGTCGAAGACTTTGTCCGAGCCTCCGAGATCAGTAGCGCTTACCGTTGCTTCGGTCCAGTAGCAGTTTCTGTCGTCGAGTGTCCCGAGTCGTGTAATAATAACATTATCTTAGTTGATTATACGAGATTAGAATGTCATTACACTAGACCAGCGTTGTTTGGGCTGCCTGTTACAGTTGTATTATCTAGTATAGAACAAAGGCTAACTTAATTCCAGGTCGTCTAAAGCCATGTGTGTTGCTATACTTATTTCTTTGATTCCTCTAGAGTTCCCACCTAATTATTATAGTTTAGCCGTGAACTTGAGGTCTGGTACGCATAGAAAAATGTTGACAGGTTGTCATGGTCCCTATGGCTTGGAGGTCAACGTAATCTACTCGCGAGCATTCTCGTTCTCTCTCCATTTTCCTGCCTTAATATTAGCGACAATTTGATGTCTGACCTTCGCCGTTACGTACGTTGAATCAGGATTGGAACTCTGGGTAAATGAAGTCATTTTGCGCTGTCTAGAGTGCTGCCTTGAGCGCTGCCACCTTTGAAGGGTAGATACTGTTCATGTAGTTTGTCTATTTGCGGCTTTCCATCGTCCTACGGCCTGGTACGAGTTTTGTTTGTTTTTGAGTTCATTAGGCCATATGACCAAGCAAATTGGGACCTGTTGATTGGCCATCAAATACACAGATCCGAAATGCATTTTTCTTTCGAACGGATAAGCTAACAAAGTGCCTCCAGCTAGCCATAAGTAGTGCTCGACAGTGCTTATTATGACGGAATAATTTATCGCAGTCATCGACTAGAACGATGATCCCTATGTTAACGTTTAGCACAAACCGATGTATTTTGGTAATATGTATACGTTTTACTATCGAGAACTGATAATCAACCTCGTTGTTTTTTTTTTCAGTAAGAAAAAATATGTTGCAAAACCTAGACTTGTCCGTTGAACTTTCTCGTGTGATGCCTCATATACCATATCATATAGACTGTAATTATATAGTACAATATATAATACTCATACGTATCGCCATACATTTACGACTTCAGTAACCGAGTAATCGAACACTATCAACGATCGAGTAAGCATGTATCACTACGACTGTTCACCACGGAACCCCATCGCCTACCCCGGGACAGATCGATTTCTCTCATAACATGCATACACCGAAAACAAACGCCCCGTTGCTTCTTGTTTCTGTTTTGCGCTATGCGACACGGTGTATTTCCACTGCTTCGTAACTCCGCTGAAGCCCGCAATCGTGCTAGTCATCGCTCGAACTTAAGATATATGCCGCCTATCTTAGAAATGACAACAACCACACTGGTACCAAGCTTTGTGTGAAAAGGCAATTCGATCCATGACCCGGTCTGGCACAATGAAAACAAATTTGTGGACGATCTATTTGCTCATATGTGACCATATATATATATCAAACTATTGAAAGACTTTTGACTCTCTCGGTTTCACTGAAAAATGCGGGTCATCGTTTACTATTCTAAGGTGAAATGTCGTGTATAATCTTTAATTGTTGCTACTATCATTAGCTTATGCATATCTATTTATATCAGGAAAAACCGTACCTGACCGCCAGCCAGTCTAAGGCTATCCCGTTTAGTATGGTCAGCAGGCTAAACTTACGAAATCAATGCGATAGCGTGTTCTTTATAATTTTCGGCTAGCACCTTTTCGAGCCTGTTCGAGGTAGGATTTACACATCAATTCATAATCGATACTGAATTTGGTACTGGTGATGACACCACATACATACTTGTTTCACTCTATACATGTTTA